TGTTTATAACTTTTTATCATTAAAAAAAAAAAAAAAAGGAGAGATGCTGAAAACTTGCAGTAGAGTTGTTTCAGTAAATATACTGAAGTGAGGAGCCAAATTAACCATGTATATAACACTTGGGCCTAAGATAAACTATTAAAAAAGTATTTCTCCTAGCAGAGAAGATGTAAAGGAGTCTGGATTTCATTAACTAAATCTTAGCAACAGTTTTTAATCACACCACTAGCACAGCACCTCCTTTTTTGCTGCTTTGTTCGCTAATATATTGTTAGAACAGGCAGTTCATCCCCTCCCTTAGAACCACCACACTGGTCACAGTAGTGGCCAGAGAATATATACTTTATTTCATTTCTGGTTTTATCCATTACAAATTGTACTACACTGAACTTTCCTACAAAAACTACCACACCACTCAGACTTACCAGTCTTAACAGTTACCAACAGATAAAAGAGTGAAAACATACCACAGATCAGGTTAAATTAAGCCTGCATAAAGAATTTTCAATCTCTCATCTTCATAAATATAACAATGTTGGAACTTCAAATTTATTTAGCCTGCAGTGACTCGCTCTGGGAATTTTTCACAGGGACATGAACTGAAACATTAGTGCTGTTCACGGTGCAATACAGCATTGCCTCTTTATCCATGTATTTTGTTGCTATGGAATCAACATGAAGGTATTTAAAATGCCTTAAGGATATAAACAGGCACCAAGAGGGATCATCAAATCCAAGCAGCCATTTAAAGGAGGAAACAGGACACATATCCAAATGAACAACTTGAAATATTCCACTTAACACCTAATTATCTGCTAGAACAAAATACACATGCTGCTCTAGCCTTGTGACCTGATTTCCTATATGAAATATGAGGAGGAAAATCATGAAGCAGAAATATAGTTAATAAACACAGTAACATTAACTAATTTCATGTGTTTCTTTTGTTGCAACAGTGCTATCCAAGTCCAATTTAGCAATTTACCTTGCTTTTGAAAGTACGACTACTAATCCACAGTTGAATGTAACTGTTAACTTCTGAGGTATACCCTGTAGAAGGAGCTCCTCTAGGCACTAGCTTAATTTTCACTTCGAACCAAGTTCATCAGATCACTCAGCAAGGAATTAGCAACACTTGCTTGTCTGTTTTTTTTTTTTGTTGTTGTTGTATTAACATAAATGGAATACCTAAGCCATGCTCATCACAGATGTTTCCCAATGAGATCAGTACTACATAGAGTATCAAACGAACCATCTATCCTGGGTCAATACATCAAATTTTAATTACAACTCAAACTCATTTGTTGAACAGGTATGTAGAGTAACAGTCACAAAACACTTTTTATTGAAATACTGTTAAAAACTTTCTGGTCAATGCTCCCCTTATTTTTCAATGGTGATAGAGATTTTACAACATTCTCTCGCTAGGAAAAAGAGTCTGAAGCAGTTAATCAAATTACTGGGTTCAACCCCCTCCTTTCTTTTTTACTGAGTAACATTCACTGCTGCTTCTTCAGATCCCAGCAGCAGGAGAACAGCACACATGCATATGATAACCCATCAAGGAGGGGTCAGCAGCCACAAGACTGAAGGGGAAACCTCAGGCCATGCGTGTAACCAACAAGGGGTACATCCTGCTCGCTCTCCTGCAGATGCTGGGAGGCACCACTGAAAGGTAGTATTCTCACACCGCAATTCCTGATGCTTTGAATAAGCTGAAGGTGGGAAGTCTACTTCCTCAGGACAGCCTTTCGAGCCTACTGCTGTCAAGGACCCCAGTAGGGACAATGTCAGGCTGGACAAAACCAGCATTTTAGTTCCCATCGCTTTTCCTTTTCTCTTACTGGTCTATGAAGGGGTTCACAACTGTGGGGCAGGACATTCTTGCCCTCCATGCCTTTTCCCAGTCCTCCCTGTCTGACCCTGTGGCACGGCTTGAGAGTCACTCCTGTGTGCTGTCAGTTCCTCCTCTTTATGGTCATTGAGCAAGCCCTCTTTTTGCCACCCACAGGATTCAGCTCTGGTCCTCCCACACTGAAAGGCTGTGCTAGCATCACTGATCCTTCCCTGGAAGAAGGATTCCAGCAACGGGTGAGGAAGTGAACGTGGCTTAAGCATAATACCATCATGTGCCTGAAAGGCTTCATTCTGAGCCAAATATAGCAGCAAAAGGAAAAACAGTATCCTGGACTTCACTGCTCTTTCCCAGCTTCATAAAGGTGTTTGAGGGTAAGTTACTGTATGACAGTAGTTTCATTTGCTTTCACAAAATGATAGAAAAGCAGCAACAGGAACCCAGTAAAAACCTCATCCAAGTAAAGGGAGTGAAAAGAAATAAAAGTAGCAAGAGAAACCAAATGTTCCCTACTCTCTGCAACCACAGACGGTAAAGACTGAGGTCCAATGCCCTGTACCAAGCTCCACATGCACACACAGTGAAACACAGACTGTGAAGGGAATTACTGAAAATGCCTTAATATCCAGTGAAACGAGTTTGGTAGAAATCGGTAGCAGTAACTGCCATTAAAGAGGAAGGATACTATAGTCAGATTTTCTCTTCACTGCATGAAAAGAAAAGAAAAAAACTCATCCATTAAGGAAATGTGAACACTACTCAAATCAGTACTTAGTTCTTGGCAGATATTACCCTGACAGGCCAGCAACCTCAGTAAAGAAATGAAAATTAAAAAAATAATTTTAAAAAAGTCACAGCCAAAATTTGTTTCCTGGAATCAGATAATTTATTTCAAGTGTCATCAAAATAAAAAAAGGAGTATTTCTTCATTTCACTATGTTCACAGATCAAATAAAAAGACAGTAAAACAACAGAACATATTTTGAATGGAGGTATTACAGGAACTTTTCCTTTTTGCAATTCAAATATCCTGGTTAATTTTAAAGAAGTTTCCACATATCTTTCTTTTAACAATCTACAGGGAACGGTTGAGGGAAAATACAATTGAACTAGACTTGGGGCCAAGATTTTTTTCAAGCAGCATAAGAGAAGGCCCCCCCAATCCTTACATGCAATTGAAGAAACAATTAAGCTTATTTATGAAAAAATGCATCAGTAAGGTGCCATAATATCACAAGACTTCCCACGTAAAAAAATATAGTGCAGGTTATATATTTAACAAAATCCACAGCCTTACCAGTCAATAACAATTCTTCTTTGATTTGTATTCCATGAAGCAATTTGATCAAATGGACAGATGTAGAGATGAGACCCAAGTTCCTATCATTAAATTGGAAAAGAAAGAAAAAAAAAATCACTTGATATGAAATACACTCAAATAAAGCAAAAAGGCTTTTCACTGAAGTTAACAGCAACTCTTTAACATCTTCAGAACCTCTGATGTAAAAAGCAGTTTCTCCCACTTAACTGTGCCTGACTATCAGCTGTGCTGTGCCACACTACTGCCATCAGAAGCAAAAGGAACAGGTTTACTGCATCAGCCTCCATATTAACAGTTTTGGACACAGTACCTTCAGAGCCAAGTATCCTTTCCTCTCTTTTTGCTATTCTTCTAAATCAGATGTTAAAAATTAGCAGGTTATTCCTGTAATTTAAACAGCTTTATTTGTGTAAAAACTTTGCTTTGTCTGAAGTTCAAGTGTTCAGGGAAAGTGTCAATGTACATTACATAGTAATAAACTTTGAGGATTTTAAATACCAACAAAGTGATTAGTGACGGCCATCAAATGAACAGGGCCAGTTCAAAGGAAAACATACAGAACTCTCAGAGGGAAGCAGGGAAAGTCAAGTAATCATTTATCCTTTCTCCAGTGAGAAGGAATCATAGGTAGAATCTCAGAAAGGTTTGGGTCGGAAGAGACCTTTGAAGATCATCTAGTCCAACCCACTGCTGTGGGCAGGGACAACTTCCACTAGACCAGGTAGCTGAAAGCCCCATCCAACCTGACCTTGAACACTTCCAGACATGCAAAAACACGGTGATAGTAAAGATAAACCAGTGAAGTTAAGCCATTTGGAATGAAAAACACCAAAATAATTCTACAGCCGAAGATCAGCAATCCTGGAGGTAGATAACATACATGCCAGGATGCGCATGCAACAGAGTAAAAAATGAAAGTCAAAGAATACAGTATAAACAGATGAAGTTTTCAGCTTTTAACTCGTTTGTACTTTAGTAGTCAAGCTTTTTGAGAAGAGATCAGCCAAGATAGACTGGCTGAAACTTCCTAACACGGCAATACCATCTCTACCAAACCTCCACACCCATGCACGAGTTACTTAAAAAATATCGTATCATCACATATGAATGCTGAATAATTGTCTACTGCAGATGTTTACTAGACAAACATATACTCCTTCTCATTAAGTTCCAACACAGAAGAGAAGCCAAACGTACATTTATAAATATATAATACACACATGCACACTGGTATACATACAGTCTATTGAAATCAAAACATTTCCCATTCCTTCAGACCCTAAATTTCTTCACAGCACACAAAGCAGAAAAACTGACCCTGGAAGGAACAAAGCTTCATATTCCCCAATAGTTTAAAAGCTGTTACACAACCCATGTGTTTACAATCTTTGCATTCTTTCCTAGAAACAATCAGTTTTGACTTTGATCAAAAAATTTGCAGTTTGGGGGTTTTTTTGGAATGTCTGAATGTTGCACACTTCAAACCAACATCAAAGGCACATAACTTTCCTTCCATTCACAACTTTTGATCATTCAGGACATTTAATTCCTAAACAAGTGTGCATTTGCAACTGTTTAAAAGCAACACAAACATATGGCTAATATACAGCTGGCTCAAAGCACCCAGTGCGGTATTAAAGGGAGCATAAATTCTTATACTGCTACAAAGCCAAAACAGTATTCAATGAGTGACCCACCGAGTCCTTCACTGTTAGAAACGTGGTCAGAACTTTCTATCCACACAGGCCTTTCCCCTCCTGCAGTCTACAGGAAAGCACAATTATTAGCATCCAGCTTCCTAAATGAGCAAGGCTATGCTAACTGCCTAGGGAGGGCAAGTATGCAGCACAGGTATAACCAGTGCAGAGCACATTTTTGTTCAGAAGCAGGTTGGATATCTGAATTCCATTAGAAAGTAAAACCTAATTTTTTTACTTTCTAATGGAATTCAGATATCCATAACTAGGTTGTATTTGTCATGCTACTAAAAAGGGCAATCCTACCAACTCCCAGCCACGCAATTCTGTTCCCCCCGTTTTGTTAACATGAGTAACTATGGAGCTACAGTAAGTTACAATAAGGAACCCAGTCTGGCTGAACATCCACCCAGCAAAAATTTATAAACAAGCATATAAGTTTTCTGCCTGATCAGTTCTTCGACCTACAACATGATCACGAGTGCTAGCAGTGCCAGGAACAAAAAAGTAAGAGCCTGAACTTAGATTTACTTTATTCTAAAACTAACGCCTTCTACGAGAAGTCCTGCAACTTTTGTGGCATTAACAAAATTCTGCCCCAGCACAGAAGTTGTGACTTTGTCCCATGTCAAAATTATATTTAGTTCAATAAACCAAATTTGACAAATCCCAAGAAACCAAATTTTAAGATTGTACTCCACAACAATTCTTTGTGATCTAACAAACTTGTAACAGGTTTTTGGGGGAATTTTTTGGCTGACTGGTTTTGGGTTCTTGGGGGGACGAATGGATGTTTGTTATTGTTTTGGGTTGTTTTTTGTTTTGTTTTTTAAAAACAGCAGGTAGACTACCAGGTTTTCAGTAACTACAGCTGGTTGTATCCCAAGCATCCCTTCAATGTTGCAACAGACACAGGCAAAAAAAAAATAGAGGAGTCAGACTGACTTCTTATTATCCATTAGTATCAGTTTACCTGTATATGTATCAGAGTTGATATGTACAATTCTACACACTATACTTTGCCATGGGTGCCAGACAGATCTAAATGTACCTTAAAAAAATACTAATCCTGTAACTGATAATTAAGACTATCTACTTACTCATTATGTTACCCAAAAAATTAAAGAAACAAAAGAGAAAAAGGGTAGTTCTATATTCAGACTTCCAGAAGGCTTACATCACTTGCATAATCAATTCGTACTAAGGACACAAACACTGTGTTCTATTATTCAGCAGTGCCCCAAACTCTGACCTACAAATAGGTCAGCTATTTTTGTTCCTTGCATACTTCATTTCAAGTGATTGCATCAAGCAGGAAATACCAGTTAATAAATCAACTAACACAGCAGTGTAAAATAAGAATCTCTATATAAAACCACACAAACATCAGAAGGTTATGTTTTTGTATGGGTTAAAATGGATCGTAACTATACCTCATGACATGTTGATTCTTGGCACAGTCAACACAGGCATTCCTCAGACATCTGAAACACTCTGCTATGAGCAGCAGGCAGGTGTCTAGATCTACCAATTCACAGGAGTCCTTGTAGGCCTGCTCAATTTCACTTGAGGCACTCATCAGGATTTCCAGGAGATCCCGAAATATACTTTCTTTTGCCATTTCTCTGAAATAAATAAATTTGTAGTGAGCAAAAAAATGTACTGCTATCAAAAAGCCTCATATTATGACAATTATACTTCTTATTGTAAACCCGAAGATGTTCTGCAACAATCTTTAACTATCCATAATATACAAGGTCTTTCAAGTAGAAAGAGCAAAATATATGCACACAATCACCCCACCAGCCTTTTCAGAAAAGGGGCTGAGAGAGAGTTGTGTTGCCTTAGGATTCCTCACAGCTTTCCAACAGCTCTTTGGAATCTTAATTAAAAAAAAAAGTCTCCCTAATGCATATAGCTAGCATGGTTATACATGACACTGCATGTTGTTTTCAGAATTAGGAATTGATTTAATTAATGAACAGAGTTTAGATGTCCAGCACTAGATGTTGCAGAAAAAGAAGTTATCAGAAGGTCCCTAATAGCCTGCCACAAATTTCACCAGAGGGAGAAAGAGAAGTCGTGAAGAAAGCCAGTGGCTGCACTAGCATCATTCCGAAGTGTGTGAATCAAAGCCACGGGAGAAAGTCAACTCTGTCTACTTCAGCAGACAGCTGCCCCAACACAAAAAATACCATGCCACTTCTTAGAGTATCAAGACCTAGGAAAACAACACTACAAAACCATAAGCACATAGACAGATACTATATGAATGGATGAGAGACCTGATGCTGCTGCACCATATAGATTCACCAGACTCCCCAGGACTGACACGCACATCTACAGATGACCTGTCACACAGATATGCACAACGCTTCCAAACTACAGCTATTCACATACTCTCTCCCCTGATTTTATGTTCAGAAAGAAGATGAGGGCAACACATTACAAACATTGCTAACTCAGTTTTGATACTACATGCTGGTGAAAAGAAGCCACACTAAAGAGTGTTTATGGCATGGCTACAGGAAAGTTCAAAAAATTCACTCATCCCATACTTCTGACCAGAGCCAAAAAAGGGAAATCCAGACGCAACCTCCTTGAACCTTAAACAGACTTCTCATGTACTCAGGAAATGTAGGATCTGAGACATAAGGTTGAAAAATACCTCCTAAGCTATGAACAGAAGAAAAGTGAGATGAAATGGAGAGTAATATTAAACAAAGTATGTTCACACAGAAAACTATTCCTAAAGGAGAATTTAAAAATTTCTTGATCAAACATTAATGGATGATACAGTACTACCTGTGTTCTGCTGCTTGCTTCAAATGTCTAATCATTTGCACAATTAGAAATTCTACCTACTCTTTATCATAAGTGATCACACGTCCATAAACCAAACCACAGAATCATAGAATCATGTTTGGAAAAGACCTTTAAGATCATCGAGTCCAACCATTAACCTAACACTGCCAACTCTACCACTAGACCATGTCCCTAAGCACCACGTCTACACGTCCTATCTGTAACACCCTTAGACACGTCTGAAGACTATCATATTTCCCACCTCTGCTCCTGCCATGTTCTCTTTCCTAGACTAAACAAAACCAATTCTCTCAGCCTTTACTCACAGTTCCTGTTTTCTAAGCCTCTTATCACTCGTATTGCTCCAATCGTGACACTTTCATGTTCATCTACGTCTTACTGACAGTGTAGTGCATCCAATATTGAGGTCTGTTAGGCTGTGGAGTAGACTTACAAAAGAAGGAAGAGCACTTGTGCTGTAAGAAATACAACAATGTAAACAAATATCATTAAATTACTACAACATTAGATTTCAGATCTCCAGGAAATATGTATTTTATTCTACAACCTCACAGTTGATCAAGACCAATACACTTACAGAATCTCCAGCTACATTAAAACATTTAAAAAAAACCAAACCACCACAGCATCAGTGAGAATTATCTACAGCGGGAAGGGGGCGCGGTCTGAAGCTACATTTTACAGTGGTGTAGTACTGAGGGGAAAATACTAAAGTGGCGCAACAAAGACCAAAAGCAGAGCTGGCCCTCAGTCATAAAGAAAACAGTGGAGCTTATGTAACCAGCAAGAAGGTTTGGAATTTGGTTTTGTTTTTAAGACATAAGACAAGACATTCATGGGACTTGAACCTTTGACTTATAGGAAGTAGTGCAGCTCCTGCTGCTGATGTACCACAGTACACATGGTAAATGCATCTAGACACGTTTTTCTAAACACTAGAAGAGCTACGGTCTGGTAAAGGAGCACCCAGCCAGGCCCGGTCCCAAATACACAAAAGACATGTTTTCTCTACTGAGTGAAGATGCCATACAGAACCATTAGCTGAGTTTTTAAACACTGAAATTATTCTAAACTAGGAAATCTCTCAATCCAATTGCAGTTTCCTTTATATTTATAATCCAACACATGGCCTATGCCTATGTGTTGGATTATCACATGAAACTGGACATTTTCCTGACCCAACTTCAAGATACAAAAATCAGTGATCAGTACAAGACATGTACTACTGTACAACATTCAATTATTTGAAAAAACAGAAATGAAAAAAGCTGCAAGTATTTTTGTGCGCATCCTCGTGACTCTACTGTTAAAAGGACATCTTAAAGTCATGCTGATCCTGGAGAAGCTTCTACTCTTGTTACAGAGTTACACTGCAGAACAGAACTTTTAGTCAGATAATGGATGACAAACATAACGGGCCACTGTGACAACTTTTGTCTTAATATTAGATTGAAAGTAAAAAAACCTAAGTGTAGACGTTTCCAGTAAAATACGAAGATGAAACTCTTGCCTGTCCTAACAGAGCAAATGTGATGTACACAAGGGAAGTGCCTGTCCTCATTGCGAATGTGGAAATAGATGTGGATTTTTATGTATCAGCAAGGAGACAGACCTCCAAATCTCTCTTGCACACTATGCAAGAAAATCAAAGTGCTCAAGCCAGATGTTTCTGCCCACAACAACTCTCTTCCTACAGCAGAAAAGAAAAACCTAACCAAACAAGCAAAAGTTATTTCAAACAAACAAGGAATGACTTAAAGGCTGTTTGGTGAAGCAGGATTTTCTTCAGAGAAAATTTAAATGTGACTCTTGTACTTAAACATTTATACATCATTGCAGTTTGAGTGTGTGCTACAAAGGAATTTTAATTAAAATCATCCTTCTGCACAAAAACTCTAAATTCTCAAATCAGTGAAGAGAGCAGAAAGTGTTTAACATTAAGAAATCAGTCAAGAGTGATTTCAGGTAACTGTTCCACAGCAATGCTTAAAACCATTTTTTAAAAAATAATCTTCTTTCCAGTGGTACGTCAAAGATTCACATACAAATAGAAATAGCAGCTACAAGTATTTAAAATGTATTTTTGAAATGGAAAAAAAGGAAAATATTTTCCTTCCATAACCTTTTCCCTAATCTTTAAATATTAATTTATAAAATTAGCAAGGAGCCTGTTTAGGGGCTTTTAGGTGAAAAAATATCTTCTATTGTAAATAGGCCTTGACATTCATTCAGAACTGCTCTGTGGATATTCCAACAACTTCTGTTTCCTATGTTTTGTTGCTTAAGACAGGATCTTCACAATTTGCTGCTGCCACCTGTCCTCGATTTCAGCATCAAGTATTCTGCAGGAATACAAGAGGAAGGCAAAGCAAAGGGTACAACAGCCCAGCCCTCAGACAAGGAAGACACACACAATTTCTTGTTAAGTCAAAACAAAGAGTTAGAATTCATGTACCCATGCCAAAAGGAAGATTACTGTCACTCCTTGTACGATTTAAGTGCTTCATTGTTAAAAATAGAAACTGTACAAGATAACATCCTAGTGGACACAGAGTTAAGAACATTAATGCAACCCTGTTCAAAAGACTAGGGCTCCAAAAAATCACGAAACTAGCCAGGCATTATGAGAACAACCCAGAAGTTTGCAATTTTATATTTCTACTCTATGTTTTAGGTACTTACACCATTCTACTCCTGTAAGTGGAGTACCTAAAAAGCCTTTAAAGTATTTATCTTCACAATATTCCTGGTAATAAAGCCATTTTCTTCCTTTTGTAGATTAATAATGGAAGCATAAAGAAATTGCGTCATCTGTTCAGAAGCACTGGAAGTCTCAAGTAAAGCACACAGCTGAATTCAAGTCTCCCAAATTCCACACCATGGTCTCATAGTTGAGGCATTATTTTCCTCACCTTATTTGCTTCTGAATTACAGACCACTAGAACTCACATTTTTCAATTATTTTGTTTCCACAAGCACTGAACAATCACGTAATAACAAGAGACTTGTCACTGAATATCGCAACTTTAAATACCAAACATCCATTGGGTTGTGTCTTCTGGTTCAACTGCACCAACAACAGTATTTTCCACAGTTGGCAAATTTATTGCCAGAGTTGCTCTCAGATCCATTGTGTGATGTCCTATAGGATGTAAGCTAACACTACAGCCTTGTCCTTCTGGAAGGGCAATTACAGTGTCTCTCTTCCAGCCCACCTGCACCCACAAAACTTGGCTATTTTGGGGAATATCTACTCCTCTGTCAAACACAGTGGCAGAGGTTTCAGGGAGGAAGGCAAGAAACAGGCAGAGAAAGCATCAGCATGTAAGCCCAAAATTTGCACAGGTCCTCCTCTCTTCCTAGAGAAATTGAGATGAACACCAGAACAAGGTCTCCTGTACACACAAAGATCACAAGAGAATATCTGGAAGTACATCTTTCCCCCTGCCCCTGACTTTTAAATGTGGATTTAATTAACAAAAATAGTATTGGGAATTTAAAAAAAACAAAACAAAACACCACCACGATTTTATGCTAAGCTAAAAAGTTTGATTTCTTCTTTCTTAGGCGTTATAACCTTCAAACAGCTACTGTTAGGATGAGCGAGCACGAGCTTCACACCAACCTATGCTGCCTCCCTCCTTCCAGGAAGAGCGGAAACCGTTACTGTAAGCCCAGTCTTCTTTCTTAGGTGTTATAACCTTCAAACAGCTACTGTTAGGATGAGCGAGCACGAGCTTCACACCAACCTATGCTGCCTCCCTCCTTCCAGGAAGAGCGGAAACCGTTACTGTAAGCCCAGTCACGCAGCTGAACCTCTGCATGCCCAACCTTTGCCAAAGCCAACAGCACTGCGCGGTATTGCAGAGGTCCCCCCCACCTTACAGGAACAGCAACGCTCCGTACCAGCCCCTTGCTTTCTCCAGTAACCCCATGCTTCCTTTCCCCATCTTAAAGCTACTAAGGGGCATCCAACCTTTCCTCCCACTGAAGCCACTGCAGCCCATCCTACTGCACAGCGCGTGCCCTCAGCCACCAAGGCCTACAACCACCATGCTCATCCCAAGGCCTTGCCCTCACACGGGTATGAAACTGTCGCCCAGCAGAGCCTCACATGGGCATGTCTTACCCACTTCTACCCGCTCTGCAGGGCTCACCATCGCTTTTTGCCCCACAGCAGCTACTCCCACAGCTACAACCCACCTGAGCATACCTGCCTAGAAGGGCAACTGTTGTCATCTGCGACTGGGAGACGCAAAGCTTTCCTCCCTGCCCTGGGCCTGCCACAGGCGCAGGGACACGAGCAGACTGCCAGCTCCCCATGGGACCCCGGGACCCCAAGGGAAAGGAGGCGAGAAGGGACAGGTAACCCCCGCTGGCCCCGGGCCCCACCGGTGACCCCCGGGTTCCACATAAACAGCCCCCCGGGGG